TACAAATTATTTATAATAAAATTTACAAATAATATATTTAACCAAAATTTTTTCATAAAAAAATTTGGAACTGAAATTTTTTAAATTTCATTCTTGGGGTTTATAGGGTTGATTATTTAATTGCTTGGGCAGTGCTTAAAATAAAAAGATCTGTTAAAGGATCATGACAAATATTCAATGCTTTTAACTTTTTTAAATCAATATAAGTATGTTTAATTTTATATATCTCCAACTTCTTAGTAAAATTTTCATGTATATAAAAATTATTCTCATAAATTAATATATATATGAAATTTATATAAAATGTGTTAGAAATAATATTAATAGCTTGTTAACATTTTATTTTTTCAGTTTATATAGTGAAAAAAAATTGTCTATTGATATGATATATATCTTACTACTTACAGGGGAATAACTATCAATTAGTTAATAGCATCATTATAAATTTTATGTGATTTAATCTGAAAAATTAAGACAGTTCTAGGTTTTCATAAAAAAAGAACACTCAAAGTTGTTATAAAATGACAATCTCTTAAACAAATGAAAATTTCAAAATACTTTAAATAATAATGAAATACAAACATTTTTTTCTAGTATATTTATTATTTATAAAATTTATAGAATAATTATCGATTAAAATGTTGAAAAAAGTAACTTTGGTAAATTTGTCAAAGTACACAATGAATATCTTCCTAAGTATTTCTATCTTAAAGAAGTAATTGTATGTAAATAAATATCAAACAATTAATTTCTTTTTTTACACGTTGAAAGTATATATAATAAATAAGTTATTCTAAAAGCTAGTCAAATTTAGTATTATTTTAATTAGCAATATAATTACATTAATGTATTTTATTGCAATATTTTATTTTTTAATTTTACAGTAATTATTTGTGATATAAATAACTCAAAATATAATATAATGCTTTTTATTCTTATATTTTAAAGAAATAATTTTAGTAATGTACCATTAAATTGTTATGCTTCGTATTCTATTTCTGTATTTCTTATTATTTGCTCGTGTTTAAATGTAGATGATGACATATAAAATTCAAATTTGTTTTATTAGGATTAAATTATGACCATCAATGCGACATTTCAAATTTCTCAAGTTAAATATTCTGAAGCGAATACGATATATAATGAACACATCGAGTATATAAAATTTATGTAAGCCAATGTTATATAAAATGTGTACAAGAGTTACACAATGTTTGAAATTGATTATGAATGATCTTAATTATAAGTAGTGCATCATTCTGCTTTAGTATATTATATCATTGATATTTTACTTAATATGTTTTATGCTCAATGTGGAAAATGTGAAAAAAGAAAGAAAGAAAGAAAGAAAAAAAAAAAGAAATGTTTTAATATTAATGATAATTTAATTGTTGTTAAAACCATTCCAGGTATAAATTTTTAAATTATCTATAGTTTAGGAGATATGTAAAACTTGCTATATATAAATGCGTATGAAAGCAGTTTCTAGATAATAAATTACTAGATAACTGTATGAAATAATTTACGTAAAAATAATATACGGCTTAATAGTTTTTTTATGTGTAAGAGAAAATGTAGTTTGTGTAAAATATGTTTCAAGTTCAGAGATTGCCTCTTTTTTGCTTCAAATTATCAATTGTAATATACAAACCTTTTTTATAGTCTTAATTTTAAATTATCAGATCTTCATATAACAAATGCAATAGTATTTTGTTAACAATTATATAAGAAGAATGTTCTACTCTGTGATATATATATTAATTCAATTTGTGTTGTACAATATCAAATTATTTATTTGCATGTAAACAAAACTATTTTTTAATAGTTTTTAATAGAACATTTCCCAATTTGAAGTACCAAAAGAGTTAATTATCCAATTTGAAACATTCTACCCAGTATGTTCCTAATTATAATGTTATTGTGTGTGTATATTATGTGTATACAAATTCTTAATAAATCAATGCTTATATAATCTGCAATTCTTTTTAAATATGACAGTCATAATGATTTGACAAGTTTATTATTATACTATAATTGTTATTGCTGTAAATATTAATCATAAATTTAAACCCTTGCTTTACAATAAAATGTGAGACTCATGATACATTTCACAATCCAAACATGGAAAATACGAGTTTTACTCATGGTGAATCTTATGGGTCAAACATAAGAAGCATGAAATATAGTTCCGAATATGGCATGCAGTTCTAAACTTTAAATCATAGTGCAAGAGGTTAATTTTGAGTAAAGCTTATATTTTTTTTATAAGTTATGATGATATATATTGAATTTCATATAAATATTAATATATTATATATATTGTATTTAAATTAATGAAATTTTTTTTTTATTTAAATGTAATATTAAAAATGTATGCAAAGATTTTGATAAATATGGCAGATAAAGAAAGTACAATTTTGTACATAAATGAATATATTATTATAATTTAATTCCTACTAAACGTGTCAAGGTTCTGAAGCTGGAATAAGAGAAAAGAGATTGAGATGATTCAAAAAAGATATCTAAAGTAGACCCTTGGTCTTAGCTTGGGTAGCTAGACAAGTTTGTGTTCATTAAACTCACGATATTACATAGTAACTTCACATACTTTTGTGTAAACAGCATTTTTTCTTACGAAAAAGAGATCTACAAGAAAAAAAAAACCAAAAAAATAATCAACAGACCTATAAGCGGTAGAAAAAAGATCTAAGCTGAATTAATAGAATCTGTGGCAAAACAATGTAGTAAAGAGATACAAACTAATACATATAGTTAACAATCAGTTATTCCTTAAAGAGTTCACCTAAGAGAAGGCAAAAGACTGTTTGTGACCAAAAGAGCTTAATTCTAAAGAGAAAAAGAGAACTTAAGCATCAGAGCAATAGTTAGCGATCAGAACATCAATTCAATAAAGAAGAAGAAAAATAAGGATTATTACACATGAATAAATAAAGAAATCAATTGTATATTCGAAAAAAAAACATTATAATTAATTTATGATACAGTTGTTCCTACTTCTTGTTTATCTTTTGATTGTGCCATTATTGCAGCTTGGGTATCATTCATTTCTTCTATTCTCTTACGAACTAAAACAGGTTGGATTTCCACATACAACTCCATAATTTTGTGATTTGCATTCACATGCTTTTCTGTACAATTTTTAATACATAAATCCTGTAAATAAAGAACATATTTACAACGCATTTCTAAAGATTACGCGCATAACAATATGATCTAATTGGTAAAATAATCTATTATTAATTGTACCTCATTAGAAGTTATATCTCTAGTAAGAAATGTATTGGCACATCTCCTGAAACAAGTCTCCGATATTTGATTGAATACGAGAAGAAAATCTCGAAACTAGAATAGAGAAAATATAAGAAAATTTATACATACTTTGTTATAATCTATTATAAGTCACAACATTAAAAAAAAAGTTACATTTCTCAGTTGAACATCCATTTTAAAATTTGATGATATATAGTAAGTTATTAAAAAATTATATTAGTGAAAGTAATGCAATTTCAAATTCTTCCATTCATTTACAAATAATAAGTACTTTTAAAAATGCATATAAATCTGCGGGACTTTTACCCAATAACTTCCCTATGTTTTGTTTGAATATACACTAAGGGAATAACAATACTTCTTATAGTCAATTCGGATAAATTATCGATCACTTAATCAATCAATTACAATGGAATAATGAACAAGTAAGAAAACAGATATGGTAACGAGAAACGATTATAAATATAAACGTAAAATTATTTGTCCTTAGACGTTTTATTAAGATAGTAGAACTGCACTCGTATGAGCTTTGTGATTCGTCGTTAAAACGTGACCATCAGAGCACGTTGATTGGTCCTCAAAATGATTATTTGAACGCGTTAATTGGATACGAGAGCTTGCGTCAATATTAACTTCGATTTACTTTAAGCTCTATGTTCAAACACACATAATTCTTAAACCTACTCTTAGAATATTTGCACAGTTTGTTACACTTCTTATAGCGTATATAGCATTATATACTGGTTATATAGCATATTATACTGGTAATATTAGTTATCAGTAATTGAATATATAACTAGTATATTAGTTCACTAGTAGTAACACGCATATCTTCTAGACCCATATTAAAAAAATGTCGTTAGAATTGTGTCAGAATGAAAAAGTGACGAATATTTTATAAAGATTAATCGATTGTTCTCCTCTATATCAGCACCAGCTTCCGTAGTTGCTACATATATATTCCAAAACATGCTTCAAACACATCTCCATTGAATCAGTAGATCTATAAATCCCCAAATGGTGATAGATGGCGGTCAGGCTACATTTTGTATTTCGTCCTGGTTTCGTTAGAGGACTCGCGAGTAAGGTTAGTCAGGGTTTATTAAACCAAATATATGCCGTTTTGATCGATCACTTTTTGCCATTTTTGAGGTAAAATCATAATCCCATCAGTGTAGAACTGTTGTGATTTTTGGGCGAAAAACTGCAACAACTGATTTTCACAAGCTTCCTTTGAAGTCAACTTTACACCATTAAGAGAGCTCTGCAAAGGACGAAACAAATGGTAGTCTGATGGAGCTAGGTCTGGACTATATGGTGGATGCATCAAAACTTCCCAACCAAGACCTCTCAATTTTTGATGAGTCTCCAAAGATGTGTAGGATCTGGCATTGTCGTGATGGAAGACAATGCCTTCACTATTGATCAATTCTGGTCGTTTTATCTCGATTGCTTGATGTACTTTATCTAGTTGTTTACAGTAAAGATTAGAATCAATCATTTGACCAGGTGACAGCAGCTCGTAGTAAACAATACCTTTCCAATCCCACCACACACACAGCATTACTTTACTTGACGTAAATTCTGATTTTATCACCGTTTTCGAAGATTCACTTTGTTGCAAAGTAATCCATTTTTCATCGCCTGTAATGAGTCGTTTTAAAAATGGTTCGATTTCGTTCCGTTTTAGTAATGATTCACAGATGAAAATTCGATCCATTAAATTTTTAATTGTTAAATTGTATGGCACCCAAACATCGAGTTTTTTCTTGTATCCAGCCTTCTCCAAATGGTTTAAAACTGTTTTATGGTCGATGTTTAATTCTTTACCGATATCATGACTACTAATGTGTCGATCTTGCTCAACTTTTTCCAAGATTTCATCGACTTTTTCAGTGATTGGTCGACCAGAACGAGGTGCATCTTTGACATCAACATTTCCAGATTGAAAACGCTTGAACCAGCTTTGTGCAACACGTACTGATACTGCATCATGTCCATAAACATCACAAATTCTTTTAGCAGCCTGTGTCGCATTCTTCCCTTTTTTATAATAAAATTTCAAAATGTATCGAATTTCTTCTTTATTTTCACTCATTTTTAAGACATAACCATTTTTTAAGTTTGAATGAATAAATATTACAAATTTCTTAAATTGTTATAAATAAATATAATATATTTTTGATATGTTATCTTAAATGTGTGTGTGCACGCAAGTATCGTCAGATCTGATTGATAGATCAGAATAATGCGATTCTAAAGCCATCTATCGGAAAAATACGAAGAAACATTTTCCCCAACCCAATGTAACATCAAGAGGTAGTGGATGACGGTAGAAGGAATACGGTATTCTTTGATAGTATATGATAGTATAGTTATATTTTATAATAGAATTTTTAAATAATTTTATTTATTAATTTTTAGTGTATAAAAATGTGTGTGCCTTCAGAAATGCATTTATTTTAAAAAGTTAGTCATTTAAGGCGTTCAAGTAGAAGAAAATCTCAACGGTTCGTTGTTATATCCAACGATGGTCACCTGTAACAAGAAGAAAACTATATTAATTATACAATCAAGTGACAAATAGCCATAATAGTCATCGCGCTAAGTACATACTCTCGCCCACTGGTAGTCAGGGTACTATCTAAGACGATTTTGGTTATGCGAAAAGTGGACCTATGAACTTCTTTGTATTTCTTTATTCTTTGTGGGTTCATACACATGATAATTATGTTCCATCTACCATTTTAAATGAAAAATTAACGTATGGTTCCAAAGATAAATTTCATAAGAATGATACAATTAAAATTTTATTATCTTATTTATTATATATTAAACATTTAATTTGTATAAACAAGATTAATTACAAATAAAATACTTTTAACTTAAATCAATTGATAATGTATCGTATATTACTAAGAGTATTATGATACAAAAAGTGTACAACGATACTGCGCCATCTAATATTTTACTAATGTTAAATTAGGAAATTCTGCACATTTCTTATATATTTTTAAAATCAGGCAATCAAACTAGTATTTGTGGACATAAATTGATATGATTACATCAATTTGCACAGTGCTATGTCTTATCCGTTGAGTTTGATAGATAATGTATTTACATTTTCATAACATTAAAGAGTTATTAATGAATGAAATAGTTCGTTTAAAAACTTTTGTAATGTTTCTGAACTTGAATTTAATGATTTTAAATTTCATTGTTATGTAAAATAATGGTATTAAAATTAAAAGTACGTTAAATTTATTCGCAATTTGAATAGAAAAATTCCAATTAAAAAATGTACGAATGTAGTTGTGTTTAATATAATCACGTGTTCTGCTTTGGTATCAGTTTCGTTGTATCACGTGAAAGAGGTCAAAAAATAAATTTCATTTTAATCTTCTCTTATCAATGACACAAAGAAATAGGTGTGTATGTTTATCAGTATATTTTTCTTACTTTCAGTATACCGCAATGGCTTTTTACTCTAAATAATATTATTGATAGTTATAAGTATTATGAATGATTTGTTTAATAAAATATAATATATTTCAATAATTTATCAAGTCTCAATTAATTTGAAAACATTTTGGAGTTATTATCACATATATGCGCCTACACATTTGCATATCATTTATAGGTAATGCTAAACATTCAAAAGTCTCATAAAGAAATTATATTTATAACCTTGGTTATACTAAGTTATATTATAAATTCAATTATTTAAATTTTAATAAAGCAATGAATGCCGCTATTGCTTTATGTACATTTTGTGAAATACATGGACCTAAAGTAATATTTACCACTCAAACTTATCGTAATTATGACAATCAAAGTACAGAGAAGTTAAAGTTTTATGGACCAAAAGAAATACTGAAACAAGCACAGACTACGGTAGATGAAGGGCAACAAGAATGCGAAGGCTGTCAAAGTATTAACAATTTAAAATACTTGAGTAATGAGCACGATACTAAAACATCCTTTTTATCTGCTCAACAACCATTAACGCAAGACATTGAAATTTTATTAAAACATGCATGCATCAGGTAATTTATATTTTAAATATTTGTATTATTATTTAAAAAGTATATGTATGTTATATAAATATTATACTCTCTATATATATACATATATATATATCTAAGGAGTCTCAGTTGTGAAGTACATCCAGGCAAAGAAGGTGTTTGCTATTTTGGAGATGAATACAGAGGGCATGTTTTAAGTCGTACTTTTACATTAAAAGATGCCCAGGTGAATTATACAACGAAAAAGCATGTTTGGTAGCTATTACAACAAATTATTCAAATCATCTTAATAATAAAGTTTCCTGTATTGTTATATTCTAAAAATCAAATTACATATATACATGCATACTTTAAAAATCATATTTCGCATAAAGATTTTATAATCTTTATACTCTTATACCTTGATAATCTTTATCATCAATCTTAGGTACTATAATTCTAAAATGTAAATAGAATGTGATATTGATATGAATATATTAATCTATTAAATATCCTTTAATTATACTCAGACTTAATTTTTTTTACAGGCAAGAGGCTTTCGCAGATGGTGCAGCTTCATTGTTTTCATGAGGGACAAACAATTTTTATTGAACATGTGGCCATTTTTAATTGATAATCTAAGAGAGGTCATTAGAGAATTGCAGGATTGTGCAGAAAGAAAATATAATATCGAAGAAGCTGAATGCCCACAGAGGACTATGCGCTTGACTACAGCAAATAGCGGCTCAGGCTCCTGTCATAATGCAACAAAACAAGTTAGAGCACTTAGCAGTATAACAAATGAGAAGCATGTTTATGTCAGGTATAAGCAATACTTTACATTGCACAAAGTACAGATATATATTATTAGATTTTTGCAGAATCCACATGTGGCTTGTATGGATCCTTAGTGCAGGCGCTAGACATTTTATAGAAATTCTACCAATGAGTTTACTAGATAAGGAACTTAATTACAATTTGGAACATCGTATAGGTCAATATAATATGAATGGAAAAAAAATTAAAATATACATGTATATTATAAAATTAAATAACATCATATTTTTTAGAAACTGAAGAAGGATTCACTTTGGTTAATACAAAATTACCTGTTAATTTGAACTTAAATACAGAAGAATCTCAAACATCAGAATTTTCTGAGATTTCAAATAATACTGCTATTCTCATTCTAAGAAATTTAAAAGAAATACTTGGCAAAGATCAATTTAGACAATTGTTATACTCCAGTTTAACTGGCATTCAAATTTTAGTGAGAGGCCCAAAAACTCAAAGAATTGAATCGTTACATGGACTAAGTTCACTGGTACCAAAAGCATGCAGAAGAGTACATACACAAGCAGTAGAATATTTGGATCTAAATAAATATAACTTCATTGGTAAATAAAACTTTGTAATTTAATTGTAATTTAAAACATTGTGGATTTCTTAATAGATAGTAAAATCAAATAAATATAACATAATTCTTCAGGGGTGGATACATCAGTAGCAGTACCTTTACCATCTGCAAATGTATGTAGATTGGATATTATAAGTGATGAACATAAAGCTGAAAATACTCCATCGCATATCGTTAAATGGACTGGTTTACTTCCATTAAAACTTCCTACATTGTTGTTAAAACTTGAAAAATCGCTGGAGGATAAAAAACTTGGAAATTCTGTTCTTAAGGCACATTTTATTGCTTTACAAAAAGAATGGGCAAAGTAAGAATATATATGAATTATTAAATATATATACAATATATATATATCCCTCTATTTACACAGTCTCCTTTTAAGTAGATTCACTTTAACACGTTTGAGCTACCAAAACCTAGATACGGTGTATAACTATGGTGTATAACTACAGTGTATAACTACGGTGTATTATATGAAAATACAAATTCAATGATTCCCTAGTGTAAACGTATTTTTTTATCCCAGTAAAAGCTAAATACATATTTGAGAATGTGAAATTTATCCTTATTTTAAATGGCTTTTCATGGATCTATTTGCATGGTTTCGATTTACGTGCACTTTTTGTGAAATCAGTTATCCATGTTAATAGAGGGATTACTGTAAATATATTACTATTCTATTGGATACTTAAGTTAAATCGTGAAAATCCTAAGTCTTACACAAAATAACTAAGCATTTTGAATATAGGCTTAGCTCTTTTATATAAAGAAATGTGAATTTGTTACAGTATAGCAAGGGTTGTTCATGCGATGCGAGGCAGAGGTCATAGAGCAGATCTTTCTGGTCTCATGCTTAGCTTAGGAGCTGGTCCTCATGATAAAAAACTATTAGATGCATGGTCTATGGGTTTGCCATCAAATCCTGCATAATTTATTTTTTAAAATTGTATGGATTGTAGTATACCATTGGGTACAAACACATTGTGTCGTTTCTTACATAAATCCTTTCCTAATTTTTCATATTTTCATGGCGAATCAGAACATTAAATATTATCTTCCTTTGATCTTATATGATTTTAAAATATTGTTCAAGTAAAAATTCCATTTTCTTTCAAAATAAGAATGTTAAGAGCCACACTTTTCGTACAAAAAAAGATAGTGACGTTGAGAAAAAAATCAGAAAGCCGTCATAAAGCCATGCTGTTTGTTTTAAATATTATCATTGAAAAATAATATATACTATTGTATCAATATTTTATTCATTATATAATATTTACGTAATAACAAAAATAAATTTTTGATATGAAATAAAATCACTTTTTATTAACAAGTTGATATTTAAATTGTTTGATGAATTACTCAGCGTATAAAACATTATGCTCTTGTACTCGTTTTTTGGAACAAATTTCAGATCATGCATACATATTCACATCACGCTTAGACCTAATCTTCTCTTTAATCTTTTTTGTCCCTTTCCATTTTTTGAAGTGAAACTTCTTAGACGACTGTAATGATAAAATTTTAAGAAACAAAGTGAAAAGAAAGGGAGTACAGAGGGTTAGTATGATGTGTGTGAATGAGATATATGGATTAATAGCTATTGCGAGATACGTTTGTTTATGAAAGGATGAGCGGGGATGTGACCTACCTTGAGAGTGTTTGAGATACTGTAAATGATTGTTAATTAATTAAAATAAATGTTTATTTTAGTCTAAGAACATGGATATAAATTCGACGCACCGACCTCTTAAAAATCCTTATTACGAATATTGTCAAAATTATTTTCTATTCAAATATAAGTAAAGTGCATTAGAATATTAAAATAATTATTAATTAATCGAAAGAGAGAGAGAGAGAGAGAGAGAGAGAGAGAGAGAGAGAGAAAGGAATGTATATTATTGTCTAAAAGCACTGTGTACATGTTGCACCGTCCTCTTCGAAATCCACCGTTAGACTGGTTTATTATTCTCTATGAAAGTTCTTTTATTCAATGTTGTTTATATGACTTTCCAAATAAGGAAATTCTATTTATTACGAATATTATTCCCGTTACATACATGCGCACCTTTCAGAAAATCATATAAACAACATTTAATAAAAGAAATTTCATAGAGGACTATGACTCAGTTCAACGGTAGATTTCGAAAGGGACGGTACATAGATCATATAGTCCAAGCTTTTAGACAACAATAGACAGTTCTATCGATTAATTAACAATTATTTTAATACTCTAATACACTTTCTTTATATTTCAGAGTGTTTCAACATATATGTACTGATTTAAATATTACATACCTATTAACATACTTTGAATATTAAATAAGATTTTGATGTGATATTCTTTTAGATGAAAATTTTATAATCCGAAGTCATCACTGCACAACGGGAACGTTAAAACAATTAAATAAAAATTTAAAAAAATGTTAAAATTAGAATGTGCTTTTAGACAGCAATATACATTCCTTTCGATTAATTCTCGATCAATTAAGATAAATCGAACACGGTATTGTACTCTATGTATATATATGCATATCTATATAGGATGTCTATATTATATTTGTGAGTATACAGGCATACATGGACATCTAATATAATACAAAATACGATCAATGACGATTAATTAATAGCAAGATTATTAATAAAGCATTATTAAGGAATAAAATAAGTATCGAAATCTCGAAAATAAATGCGAAAAAAAATTGAAAAAATTTTATTACAAAATAATCTTCGATAAGACGTAGAGATGCCTTTAGATTTTTGCGAATATTTTTTAAATCCGACGATGCCTCGACTTAAAAACACTAGTGAAACTAGGCGTCTCATAATTCGAAAAATTGAACATGTTACGATTCCTGTCGCTCATTCACACAACGCTGTTATCCATGCAACCAATCAGTGATCATATAAATTGTTAATATATTCGCGATATATTTAAAAATATAAATTTATATTAAAGATATAATGTGTAGGAGTATATAAAATATTTATTTATACTACATGTACATGTACGGAAAAGAAAGTTTTAATTTTAACTCGTCGGAATTTAGAGAAAACAATCGTGATAACTATCAAAGACAATCGAACTTCATCTTTATTTATATCACTGGACAACTCCAAATTCAAGGCTTACAATATTCTTTACGTTATTAAAACTACTTGTTTCGTTTATAAAATATGCTCGAAATGATTTACGTTTGAAAATTTTCATGTAAGATTGCAGGCATTTTATATATCCAATGAAAATTACTTTAAAAATAAGCAATTAAATGAATCTCTCCGATTATTGTTTTTTAATTATTGAAAACCTACATAACAATATTATTTTTAAATAATTATTATTAAACAATCAAAGAGATCAACTGGGAATTCTATAGAATGAGCAAGTTGGACAAATGAATGTTCAGCGAATAGCATGGTAGCAAGTTAGTAATTACTTCCAGTGACTGTCATTACATGGCACTCGGCTTAGTGTCGGGGTCTCCATACGCGTACTATTGATTAGTAAGTGAAACGGATTATATAATTTAATATATTCTATAACGCACACACAGATATATTTATTTTATAATATTAAGTTATTATAGTTGGCATGTTTCATATTTTGTGTTAATAACTATATACTTACATCAAACACAAAATATATTTAAATTTCGCGGTTATATAGTTCATTTTGAAAGATTTGATGGCGCTGAAAATCTTACATGTAGTTAATACAGTCCTTATGGCTCTCATGCTCTTTGCACGCATATGTGTTGCGAGAAATTGTTCTTATTCTTGTATGATTTATATGAACGTTAATACATCACTATAGGTAAATTTAACAATTGAAACTAAATATAAATATATATATTATGCTTATATTAATATTACAAATATCTTTTATATTCATTTTTACAAGCAACTTTTTAAGAATTTTTCATAACCAGCATGGAACCATGCTTTTGTACTACAAGTAGGATTCATATTAGTCTTGACTCTCTTTTGTACCATATATATATATTTAAAATTATATTTAAACTTATGTTTTTATTTTTTATAGAAATTATTGATGTAAGTATTAGAAATATATTATAAATATATGCAATGTTATCAATAAAAAGTAAAAGTAATATAATTCCAATGACAGAGAAAGAGAAAGAATGTTAGCATTTAATTTTATATTTAAAATACTTTGTATTGATTACAGATCTTCCAAAATGAGTCGATTTTTTGCTAATGGCTCAGATTCTGATTCTGGTAGTACTTCTGAAGAAGAGCAAGTTCAGCGAGTACCAACTACAGCATTTACTGTATGTATAGATTTTTCCTTAATATTTTGCTATGCAAGCAAACTGTACACATGTCAAACAACTAACATAACTTTTAGGCTTTTTTTTTAAATCCTGTTAAAAAACTTATATATATATATATATAATTAATATTTAATTTTTTATATTTAAAATAAACTCCCTTAATAGTTAGGTTTAATATTGCTAAGTGAAAACAATTTTTATGACTGTTAAATAATAAATAATATGACAATATATGTAACTTTACTTTTTGTTTTGTGAAGTTAATCAATTTGGCAAATGAGGAACTCATATAATAATTATTTTTTAATACACAGTTCAGCGATGAAGAAGAAGAAACTAAACGCGTTGTACGCTCTACCAAGGAGAAAAGATATGAAGAAATTGCTAATCTTATTAAACTCATAAGAAACTATAAAAAAATCAAAGATATGAGCAGTATGCTCTCCAGTAAGTACTTCTTATTCTTATTGACTCTGTAAATGTGAGGAGTCTAAATTATTAATCCCTTCCATTATGATTTAATTCGTGCTTCACAAGTCTCAAACCTTATTATAATGCTAGACACTGTAGATGTTATATTTATTTTATGTAGAACATAATATACAATTTATATCGCCTACATATTCATACTTTTTCTTTAGGTTTTGAAGATTTAATGCGAGCTTATCAAAAAGCTTTGCCAGTAATAGCGAAAGAGGAAAGTGGCCAGACACCACGCTTTTATATTAGATGTTTGGTAGAAATGGAAGATTTTATCAATGAAGTATGGGAAGATCGTGAAGGACGTAAAAATATGTCTAAAAACAATTCTAAGTCTTTAACTTCCTTACGTCAAAAGCTTCGGAAATACAATAAGGATTTTGAAGAAGACCTTGGCAAATTTAGAGAAAATCCAGACCAAGATGATGATGAAGATGATGATAAAGGTTCTCATTTTATAATTTTTTTATAAGTTTATTATATTAAGTGTTCTTAAATTTATTAAAAATATAATTATTATTTAAAATTATAGGTGAAGAAGCTATGGAATCAGAAGAAGAAGAAGATAGTGCTCTTTTGTTCAAAAAAGGTAGTTCAGAAGCCAGTGAACCTGACATATCCAAATTTAAGGTAATTAACAATTTATATAACAAAGATATAAAATAACTTATTTAAAAATTTGATTAAAATACGACTTGTGTTTACAATATTATAGAAGAGTATGCCTGATACTGAAGATGGTAGTGAAAGTGAAACCGATTGGGGTAGTGATACCGAGAGTGAAAGTACTAGTAGTGACGATGAGGGTCAATATCAGAATTATCGAGAACGCTTTATTAAAAAGTGAGCAATAACAATTATGTGCTCTTTAAATCGATAATTACGATATAATCTAACGTTTTATTTCATTTTTAGAGCTGCAGACAAAGAAGAAGATGAAGATAAAGTTAAGCGAAAAGAACAGAGGAAAGAACGTAAAGAAAAAGAACGAAAGAAGAAGAAAGATGAAGATGATGGTGAAGGAGAATGGGAGACAGTCAAGGGTGGTGTAGCTATTCCTTCAGAAAAACCCAAAATGTTTGCTAAAGATGCCGAAATTAATATTTCTGCCGTTTTAAAGAAACTTTCTGAAGTAATTGCAGCTCGTGGAAAAAAGCGTACTGATCGACGTGAACAAATAGAATTATTACATGAGTTACAGTCTATTGCTGATGCGCATAATCTTGGGCCAGCTGTAGCAGTAAAAATTAAATTTTCCATTGTTTCATCTATTTTTGATTATAATCCTAAAGTATCTGATGCAATGAAACCAGAGTATTGGTCTAAGTAAGTACATTATTTATAAATACATTTTGGAAGCATTTTATTATTTTATTAATATATTATTAAAAAAAAAAATCTCTAAATTATTCTACATGTAGAATATTAGAACGTATAACAGAAATGCTGGACATGTTGTTGGGTACATCAGATATGATGATCTCTGAAACTGTCTCAGAAGATGCAGAGGAGTATGAAAATCCTCCATATAAATTACATGGTTGTGTTTTGACATTGGTAGAAAGACTTGATGAAGAATTTACTAAATTATTGAAAGAATGCGATCCACATAGCAATGAATATGTAGAGAGGTAAGTAATTGATGTTGAGCTTAGTGCAATAATAAACACTAATTTTTAGCTACAAATCGGTTCTAATTGTATTATTATAGATTAAAGGATGAAAAACAAGTTGCATCTATCATAGATAAAGTTCAAGAATATCTTGAAAGACAAGGAACCGTGTCGGAACTTTGCCGAGTTTATCTACGTAAAATTGAACATCTCTACTATAAATTTGATCCCAATGTTCTTAAGCAAATGGAAGTATGTTTCGAGCATTATTAAAAAATCTTATTAAAAAACCTATGTTGATTCGTCATATAAATTCGAAGTGGTTCATATCTCATTGCTAAACATAAATATTTAATGAATCAATTTCACTAGGGAGAACTTGGACCGGAAGTAGTTACATCTGTACAAATGATGGAGAAACTTTGCAGATATATATACTCTCACGATAACACTGATAGGCTGAGGACACGAGCTATTCTTTCCCATATTTATCATCATGCGCATCATGATAATTGGTTCCGTGCCAGAGACCTTATGTTGATGTCACACTTACAAGAAACAATTCAACATTCCGATCCTGCTACTCAAGTAATTATAAATAGTTTCACATGAAATTTATTAATTAAAAATTATTCTTGCGATTAACAATTATTATTCACAGATATTACATAATCGCACAATGGCACATTTGGGATTGTGTGCTTTCCGTCATGCAAATATTAAAGATGCACATAATTGTCTTGTTGATCTTATGGTGACTGGAAAAGTAAAAGAGCTTTTAGCACAAGGTTTGCTTCCACAACGACAACATGAACGAAGTAGAGAACAAGAAAAAATAGAAAAGCAAAGACAAATGCCATTTCACATGCATATTAACTTAGAACTTTTAGAATGTGTTTATCTCGTCTCAGCTATGCTTATTGAAATCCCATACATGGCTGGTATGTTTGTACATATTATAAATATACATATACAAATTTAATTGATGACTCATTTATATATATTTAGCTCATGAATTTGATGCAAGAAGAAGAATGATATCAAAAACTTTTTATCAACAATTAAGATCAAGTGAACGTCAATCATTGGTTGGACCTCCAGAATCCATGAGAGAGCATGTTGTTGCAGCAGCTAAAGCAATGCGTAATGGAAATTGGTCAGCCTGTAATAACTTTATTATTAATGAAAAAATGAATGCAAAGGTAATTTTATTGTTATATATTTGACTATTATAAATTATGAATTATCTCATGCCTTTTTTCTAGGTTTGGGATTTATTTTATCAAGCTGATAAAGTGCGCTCAATGCTTACAAGATTAATAAAGGAAGAATCATTGAGAACTTATTTATTTACATATTCACATGTTTATGATTCTATTTCAATGCCTAAACTCGCAGAAATGTTTAAATTAAAACGATCAGTTGTCCATTCCATCATTAGTAAGATGATTATAAATGAAGAATTAATGGTACATTACAAATGTTAATCTTTTATGAATTATTAAATAATATGAAATATATATATATATATATATAACATTATAATTCATACTTTTAGGCTTCTTTAGATGATCCAACAGAAACTGTTGTGATGCATCGAAGTGAACCTAGTCGTTTACAATCACTCGCATTGCAACTAAGTGATAAAGTAAACAATTTTGTAGATTCCAATGAACGTATATTTGAAATGAAACAAGGTAATGTATTTTTGCATGGAATGTATATTTTTTACATGCATATATATAATAGTGTATTTGTTATCAATGTAAAATTTAATGTTATAACGTGTAAATATTTATTACTTCAGGAAACTTCTTTTCGAGAGGAAATCAAGGAAACTTCCGTGATCGTCAAAATTATAATCGACAAGGACAAGATTGGGGAAGACAGAGACGCGATCGTGATCGTGATCGTAATCGAGAAGAAAATCGAAATTATTGAAATAATTATAAAATTATTTACTTGAATGTTTGATGTGTAATATTATTATTACATTGTCTGCATTCAATTATACATTGATATGATACGTGAAATACGTATATACGTAAAATAAAATTTTTAAAATCATTCATGTCATCTCTACTTTAAAAAAATTCTCTCTTTGCATAAAATTAATAAATAATATTCAAACAATATAATTGTTCATTACCATCTCATATTTCTTGTATCATTTCAATAAGTTTATTACCAGTTATTATACTATCACTTACGAGAACAAGTTTAATACCCATTGATTTTTCTATGAGTCTACACGCAGCTATTTCTGCATTAGAGATGCCTCCAATAATACAAATTACAACTATTTTTGGCGAAAGTTTACCACGTTGACCATTGATAGCAGAGTCTGGCAACTTCAATATGTTATCAAAATTTTTACTTTCTTTATCCTGATTCACGATAATATTTAAAATTTGTGCCTGAATAAGAGAAATTAATCACTATCATTTTTTAAGTCTAATAACGAATTAAAATATTTTAGAAACAGACATGATACTAACGATAAGTGGTATATAAGCATTATGAAAGACGTAGCTGGGACATGTAGAATCTATTGATTCAGTATATTTTGAATTATTTGGTAAAAGTTTCAAACGTTGTACATTATTAATCCATTCATTATTTTGATCTGTTAATATATTAATACCACTTTCTGTTTTAATTTTTAACAAACCTATGGTCTGCAATTTATGAAATAATGGGATATGTTTGTAACCATGTGCATGAAGATGTAACTTCTGAATCGATTGTAAATCTGAAGGAGCAATACCATCATTAAAAATGGATAACAAACATAAAAGACGTAAACATTTTAATGGGTTTTCATCTGGAAAAGAAAATATAGTAATTATAATCTTTTAATAGAAAATTAAAATTCTTGTACTTATTACCTATATTTCTCTCTATATAATTTAAACACTCCTTTTTTCCTTTACGTTCAAGTATCAATTTTTCAATGCTTTGAAACGTTTGAAACTCAGATCCCAATGTGTCTGCAATTGTTTGACAAGCTGATATATGAAAAATTAATTGTTGTTTCATATCACTCGATTTTCGTAATTTTGTTGCTATATATTGCCCCATTTCAGCAAGTTTCATTGTTTCTATTGCTTCTTGTTCAGCTACCATCAAACAGACAATAAATGTTATTATTGATATTAAAATAATAGAATTAATAAATGTTAAGTGAAAAAAGTACATTTAAGCAATTTAGTCTTTTCATGTAATATTGGAAAAACATTACTGCAAGGTATGTCACGAACTTCTCCGTATATTTGGTCTTTATCAGGATCTATCTTTGTTCGTGTTTTACCAGAAGATATCACGCCCATATTTATGTCAAAAATTTCATTTAATAAGCCTGAGTATGTTACTGGCGTCAACAGTGTGGTAACTTTATCATAACTTCTATCCATTAAAATAAAAGCACCAATTTCATTTTCTATTTTACAAGATTTTACAGACTGCTTTAACGATTCAATAAATTTTAAAATTTGTTGACTATATTTTCCTAAAGACAGTGTAAGTTTGGGTGAACCAAGCACGAGATGCAATGACCATAAATTACGTGCCATTGCAGGTAGAAGAGTCCCATCCTTATAATAATATAAGTCCGTAAACATTGGATTTTCAAAAGATAAAACATTTCCATCTAATCGTATTAACTCATAACTTAATGGATATATTGTAATTAATCCGCTAAGTCCTGTGTACAAATATTAAATAAAATTATATAGATAATGATTTTTTAACTATAAAATACAATATAAAACTGACCTTCTTCTTCTATTAATGTATGTAATACAGTAGAGATAAATGGTATAACTAATAAATGATGATGGACCTGTACATGGGACGTAACATGAGATAATTCTGATTGAATTTGATCCAACGCCCTTTTACATGAGATTAAATTACTAGACACCAGAAATATACGCTGATTATCTGATGGTTTTAATCCTTGTTCCAACTTATATATTTTGTCAACTTTATATCGTCTATACACATATATATATAAAATAACATGAGAATAATTTATTATTAATAAATAAATATGATAAGATTAATGTATATAACACTCACTTAAATGTGGTGACTCCTATGAAGCTATCGAGTATTTTCATAAGTTTATGTTCAATTATTAAATCTTTAGTACCAGGAATCATATTTAATATTTCGATAAGCTTCCGTTGACTAATTTGGTGCAACACATTTAGTCTATCATGTATTGTTACATCCATGATGAAGAATACTTGTTTTAAGATATTATAAACACTTATTTCAGAACTATTGTTTTTTTTAATTATTTTTTTAAGTTTTCATATAAATATATAGAGCTAAATATTTATGGATTTTTATATTTTAATCTAAAAATTATACCAACACAACAGAAATATATATAAATATTCTAATATAAATATGTTATTTAGATAAATATTAAAGTGACATAATGTACTGACCATATTATATATGTATATATGTATGATGCACATGTAAACATGTAGCAAATTCCAACAAACATCATGCATGTTGGACATAAACATGCACACATAACTTTTAATCATATAAAATGTATATTAACATTGTCATACATACAAGTATATAATTATAAATAATATTAGTAGTCCTATAATTAATATACATTAGTTTTGGACAATACGTAATTTCATTTATAATTGGGGATTGTAATAGAAATACTTAATTATCAATTAAAACAAAATGAAAATAATTTTACAGATTAGTTGATTAGTTGGTCAACAATTCGCGAAATACTGTGAAATTATTCGGCAATGGCAAATTTTAATCATTGACTATTTTTTTCGTAGATACACCATAAATCATAGATTAAATACTTTACAGATACACTGTAATCATTGAATCGTTTGATTTTATTTCTAATTACAAAACAGGATCATTGATTAACCATCTCGTAGAATTATTTTCATCTCGCTTATCATCTTGGTCAATTTTTGAATAGTGATAAGGAAACAATTAAAAAAGAAAAAAAAATATATATATATACTATGTATAAAAAAGAACATTAATTTCACCATAACTAGAACTTCAATACTTAATCATTCATTTAATTGAACTATATGACTTACAGTAGTGTAAGTAAAAATTTATAATTGCAATTGATAATTGAATATTTTAATTGTAATTCTTCATTGAAAATTGGATTAAACATTCCCAATGCAGATATACGTTCCCTTATGTAAAATATAAATCATAGAAGTTAAATAATTCTATTAGTTATGCAGTAAATCATAAAAGTTAAGTAATAATTTAAAAAAAGCATTCTCTTCCTCAGGACACAAGAAAGAATACAAATATTCAGATGTGCATCGATACAAGCAAATTTATTTTTCGAAACTTGCGCACAACGTTGATAAAGGTTATTTAAAAATGGCGGACGCATGGTCTTCCGACACTACCTCAGATTGTTGTATTGAAAGTTTCTCTGATATTATGTCCGAAAAATCAGAATGCGTTATCGTTGGTCAAAAACCTCGTTTGTCTCATCGTCGAAGTAAAATACATTTCTTGCAAAAATTATTTATGAGAGAAGTAGGTATCTTAACCTTTAAATTTTTTTGTGCATTGCTATGATTGACAGATATGAAAATTTTGTGATGCATTTTTACTTATAAAAATCTAACATCAAATAATGAGATATTGTTAGAGCTGAAACATTCGTGAGATATTAATTAATTTTAATTTGTACAGTTTTTTGAATGACATTAAATATTATATGTTTTTATTTGAAATTTCTTTTTCCAAACTATCAAATATTATATATATGATCTGTGTACGATATTTCATTTCTTCTTGAAAAATATAGAAAAATAAATATCTCAAAACATTTCTTTATAGATCAGAAGTTGTTTGCCATCGCATAACTATGCTCCTGAAGAAAATCTTTTTTTGAATGATATTAGACTTTGTATGTTTGTATTTGAATTTTCTTTTTCCAAATTATAAAGTATTATATACATGATCTGTGTGTAATATTTCTTTTTGAAGTATATATAAAAAACGAATGACTCAATACATATTTTTACAGATCAGAGGTAGTTTGTCATTACACAGCTATGCTTCTGAAGAAAGACTGTTTGCAACTGTACCCTCTTGGAGACACTTGCCACTTTTGCATGTCATCCCAAAATCAGCTCTCGAGGCAGGGTATATATTCAATACAATGTTTAAAACAAGTTATGTTGTATAATTAAAATATAATATAAAGTATAAGTAATTAAGATTGATTTGATTAAAGGCACATCGTTATGGGATTGACACAATGTGGTCAATTTTTGTTAACATATACATATATGTTGGATGTTAGTGATAATACATCTTTGTATAAGTATTTGTTACATTGGTGGGCATTCACACCAAATCGTTTGGCTCGTAAAGTGTCAGAAGTTACACTTTTTGGAAATTATTCTATCCATAGAGAACTTAATATAGTAATATCGCAATGGCCAATGGAACGAAATAAATTAGTAATACATGGTCTTTGGTAAGTTTTAATTTATATTTTTTTTGTTTATATTGTTTTTCCTTTTTCTGTGCAATTTATTGAGATTAATAATATATTTGTAGTCATCATTGGTTACATCTACAACCAACGGACAGAGCATATTTAACAATAACTACAGTACCTTCTCTTGATAACTGTAGAGATTGTTTGAAAGTTGCTGCATCATACGAAGAAGAAGGAGAAGGTAAAAAATTATCTTTCATGTCTTGTTGAATGTACGTAAAAAATGTGCTTTTATATTCTACAGACTTAGCTGAAAATTGGGATGGATGTGTACGCTGCAACTGTTTGCAACATGGACTTACTGTGCACACATCATATGAAGTTATGTCACCATACCCAAAATTTCGAGCTTCTGTGTGTTTAAATTATTGGAATTATGTAGTGGTTAATACAGGAAATTTTTTACATGTGCTTAGGGTAGATTTGGATATTCCAAAGCACAAAAATCAGAAGACATTCGATAAACAAGATACTGTAGTTCCAGATACTGTGCCACTAGAGATGAGTGATATTGAAGAGATAGATTATTCAAAGACAGAATCTTATGGAAATTCCCATGACAAAGTAGGTACATTAGAGTGTTCGATTAATAAGTCTCCTCGATTGGAGCCTTCTATTGATCATGACTTTATAGATGAGTTGAATAAGTTAGATGATAGATTAGGACGTGAATTACCATTAAATACCTCAAGCAGTAATCAAAGCAACTGTGTCTGTGATATAAGTAAATCTACTGATGCTTTAAGTATTAAATTATGTGAGTGTTCAGATACCATTGAATGTAAGTGTCAAAATCAAAGTCCTGTTTCTCGCATCGAACAACAAGCTATATCGGTTAGAGATAAAATATTACAGGACTTCTGTGAAGACATGTCTCAAGAACTTAATATTGGTAGTGATTTAATAACTTTAGTGAAGCATCCATCGTGTTCTCCAAGATCAACACCCCAAAGGCTTCCTCCTGATCTCAGAGCTATGGCGTGGTCATCGCCTATTTTTACACCACCTTCAGATATTTTAAGGACGCGTAATTCGGAATCTAGTCATAAAAGTACAGGAGTATCAAAGAATATACGTAATCAGCGAGCTAATTCTCCACAACCTGGTGCTTCACAAGATAACAATGTAACTTCTATAAGTTCTCCGCTTCATTCCATTTCTATAAGTCCATCTTCATCACATTCTTCCCGTTTGATGTCACCTCCCACAACAAGATTTCTTCATCATCCTACTCCACGTAAACAAACAAACATGCACTCTCCTCCTCCAATTATTAACTCAACACAATCTAAGACTAGAGCTACGCATAAACTTATTCTTGAAGCAGAAAAAGCATATGAATTTACTGATGAAGCACAAGAAACTTGTGAAAAGTTAAGCTCATTCAGAAAACGCAGGCTCGCAGATAAAAAATATGAATTTTGTGATGAAATAGAAGACGCAGAAAATATAGTTCCTTTTAAACACATACGTGACCAATTCAAACATCGTGCCTGTTCCATTCATCAAATATCTTCCTCTCCAACAATGTCACCTGTATTGTCTAATGGTAAACGGCATTGGGTAGATTCTGATCAAAGTGAGACTGATGAATTCAATGCACCTCAAGATATTCTAACCAATGATCAATCACCTGTTGAAACAAGTAAATTGATGTATTATTACTTAATCATTTTTAACTGTCAATGTAATGTATCAATTAATCTTTATGTTTTGTACAATAGATGAAAAAAATGTATTACGTCCTCTGAATCAAAATCAATTATCAAATGGAAGTGTACAGAGAGATCGATTTGGAAAATTTGGTTCAAATTCACCATTGGTTCCTAAAATTAATTTACAATATCCTTATATAAAATGTACTGCACATTTTAGAAGAAGTTATATAGAATTGGATGATGAAATGATATCTGTTATTACTGATGTTGAAGGTATGCTAAAATGAACGATTGTATTGTATAAAGTAATTGTTTAATAATTTAATTTTTGTAGATGAAGAAACTGGAGGATACGTCAGTTATCAATGTGTGCTTCCAATGCATGTTCATGGCTCTGGATATGTACAAATGCAAATGATCAGCAACAGTAAAGCAGAAAAATTGGTAAAATTATATTTCAATAAAAAGTATTAAAGCATTACAACTGTCTACAATTATGAAAATAATAAATTTTCAGGCAGTACCTTACGTGTCTATAAACCAGTTAAGTTTTGATATTGAGACATTTTCTCATCACATTGCAGATTGGATTTGTACAAGATTCAATAAGAAATATTGGCATTGTAGTGATTATGACATTGAAATAATTGATATATGTGCTCTTAGTGGTGATATTATTTGTTTACTTATCATGAAAATTCAAGCTAGTGAATTATGTAATCAAACACAATGGTAGGTCCATTTATTTTTTATATCAATTTCTTTTTTTCCACTTGTATTATTTCAATAAGGTATAAACATTTCTAGCACTCAAGAAAGAAAACAATACGAAGTTGGATGTAAGTTTACATGGAATATAGATTCAAGTGAATATAGAATAACTGATGTATTGCCAATGGAAGAAGTGAAATTGGATTCCTTGAAAAACGGTTCATTGTGGAATCCGACGAGACGATTAGCACCACAATTGAGAGAGAAAATTCAACAGCCATATGCTCATACTGTTCGCTTCCTTCATAATGAAATGACTTTAGCTGGTTAGTAATTTTATAGAAGTTAATGATTTATATGACTCATGAAAAAAAATGTATTAAATAAATTACAGGTGAATCTATATTAAGACTCAATGATTTAGATAATCTGGTGGAATTTTATCTTACTCCAATAACGAATTATCCATTAACAGAATGAGAAAATATCAAGTAACGACATGCTGCAAACAATAATTTATTTATTAACGTAAACTTGTGATTTCTATATTGATTAAGGGAACGTACATAATATTATGATTGTATGTAAACTTACAACATATAAATTACTATAAATATTCTTTCGAAAGAGGAATTATTTGTTATATAAACACGATTAAAAATAATAGCAAGTATATTATTATAAATTGTATAGATATCTATTTACTTTGTGAGATTAGTACATAAATTTATGCTGTTGTGTGATTTATCCACAACTTAATTAGTATAAAGTAAGAATTTATGTAATAAGACAACGAAGTTTACAAACATTTGCACCAATTTGTAAATTGTATTTAAAATCCATGCTATAAATGACCTATGTTTCAGGTACACAATTTATTTCATTCTTAATAAATACATTGTATGTTATTTAAATTAACAGAGCAATGAAAAAGTAATTTTTTGATAATATTTGGTCCCAAAGTAATATTGCAATCAGAATTACTAGAATTGTATATTTTTATTACTAATAGTATCCAAACATTTGTCTTTCAGAATATTTTATGTTTTTTGTTGTTTATAAGTTTACTCATAACAAAATTATTTCAATTCAGTTTATTTCAGTAACTTAATTTTGAAAGGTACAGCTTACTTGCAGCTTTTATTTTGTTATTTTTACTTTTTTTTGTTTCTCTTTCATTTTTTGTATATATGTTTATTGAAATGGACTACACGTACATACAAAAAAAAGGTAATATGTACTAGCAATAAATATAATTATCACAATTAGTCAACAAGAAAACATTTCAAATGACTAACAAGATTTTTTATAATTTAAATATATATAATAAGTATGTATTTTTTTGAAATATTTAAAAAGTGAAAATATACAATATGTGCTTCTTTTTACTTTTTTAATTAAAGAAAATAAAAAATGAGTGAAGCCCGCCATTAAAAATTATTTATTATTATACAAATATAATGTGATATAGCTCATTTTACTTGTATATAATTTAATAACATATTCAATATTACAATAAAATAATTAAAGAGTTATTCTCGAGGTTCGATTTTAATTACCAATAAATATTTAGACAGATGAATAATTACTACAGTGTAATAAATAAAAATAAAGTTTGTATCTGTAATTAAGTGTAATCTAGTACAAAATTTTACAATTAAGCAATTGTAAAGATACCGTTATGTAAAATTATTTTTTTAGAATTTCGTTTATATCATTAAGTCATATTTTTAGGTAGTATTCGGATCAATAATCTTTAAAGGCGAATTTCAATTTTTCGTGTTCTTTTTTAACAGATATTTAAGAAAATATATCTGCACTCTATAATTATACTTTTTTTATAACATACTTAAATTTAGTAAAGTCAATTAACGCATAAATATCATTTAGATTGCAATAAAAACTTGGACAATTAATTATTCCTGAACAATAACACTGATACTAATAAATATGGAAATGTAACTACAATAACATTATTATTTTTTTTTTTTTAAATTATGATAAATTCTTATTTTAATATTTATATAGATATTTTTTAATACTTCAAATGACAATATATGATTTATCATGAATCTATACAGGTATTTTAATAGATACTCCTAAAGTAATATCAGAACCTATACCATCGAGCTTAAGTGCAACAAGAACTTCCTCCCATGCATTCATGCACTGTTGATAATGTTGTATTTGTTGATCTGCCATTGTGATTAACATACTTTTTAAGTCTGCTTGTTTTTCGGTATTCCACCTTTGAATATCGCTACGTAAATTCTCATTAGCGCAACCAACACGATCTTGAAGCAACTCCACCTGTTTTTCTAAACGTGGAATCACTTGTCCTAATTTTTCTAATTTTTCATCGCGAGTTTCTGCTTTCCAAAGTGACCCACTCCAACTTTGTGTTGAGGATATGCCACTTGTAATATTCAGTAACTACGTCAATACAAAAAATAATAATCATGAAATTATTATAATATTGGAATTAACACGATTTCATGTTATTAGTTACATGAGTTAATATTTATAGTATTGACGCGTACCTGATCTTTTTCAATTCTTCTTTTTGCTAATTCGTCAATAATCATTTCATATTCAATTTGCATTGAATCTCTTCTGCTTAGGGCATTTTTTACTGCATCTATATATGTTACATATTCACGTTCTGCGTTCGGTACATTCTCTACAAGTTTTCTTTGAGCCATAGCAATGCATTCTATTGCTTTAGCAATTGCCAACAAAATTGGAGCTAATTCTGGTTCGGAAGTAGCCCACAAAGTAAATATTGGATGTAATTGACGCAATTCAAGCAGATAATCTGGAATATTAGTAACAATAAAAATGAATACGACATATATATATATGAAATAAAAATCTATAATATTTAAAATGACGATATTACTAATCTACATTCCAGTTCATACCTTGCCTTTCCTTGTGTATACGATGATGAATTCTATCTATAGTAGATAATTTTTGACTTAGAGATGTACAATAATCACGAACTTGTTCAAACTCAGGTAAATGTTGTTTCATGGTATTTATGGTAGTAATATTTTGTAAAGAATCTGTCATTTTAACAAGCATATTTCCTCGATTTTTACGATGAATAAGAAATTCCTGTATAAATATGGATAAAGCATGAAGCATTAGTATTGTATTAAAAATTCTTAGTAGATTTATATATTATATATGTCTACGTACAGCTGGTTTAGTAGTCAAAAAAATGTGTAAGTTCTTATCATAACTGAGAATAGGATGATTAATAACCCTATTAAGAAATATTTGTAGAAGTTTCATACGTGCTATAATAAATTCTTTAGAATACCGATCTAATTGAGCCAATAATGTATGTTTTCCTGGTAAAGGCTACAAAAAAAGAAAAGGTAAATATATTGAACTCTTTTCAAAATTTAATTCAATAATTAAAAAAATATTAATGTTATTCGTTCTATAAAAACTTACAGGAATAATATGCGTTGGATAAGAATCTACTAATTTTTGACGTAACCAAATAAAGTCATTATAACGTCTACAGACTACATATTCACCATTTTCATATTCCGGACGTGTGACCTGTAATATATAATAATATTATAATATTTTACTGTATTATTCACTGAATTATAGAAAATTAAAATCGAGTATACTTTTTTAAATACTATTTAACTTACTCTAGTTGTTATACGAAATGTAATGTAAGTTTCCAATGTTTCAACATGTTTTTGTGGATTATCTACTTTAACTTTTAAATCCTTTAAATCCATTTGAAAATCAGATATATCTTGTTCTGGTATTGTAGAAAAACTGTCAATAGATGGAGATGCAATCTGAAAAATCAAAATTTTAAATGAATTTTGACTTTTTTATTAAGATATCATGCAATTTTAGATACAATCCAAAAAGTTGTATTCATCGATATTATTATATTTATATGATTAAATATTATTCTTATTATATAAGTTATATTTTAAATTCTTTATGGTCTAAAGAAAAATCAATGAGAAACTACTACTTTTTAAAATAGTCTCTCTCTCTCTCTTTCTTTAAATTATAAGTTTCTTTTAATATTTTTAATACTACACGTATTTACCACAGAGTCATCCATTGAAGTACTGCAATTAGAGAAAAAATCGGCATCGCGACTTTCTTGCTTAACAATTCCACCCATTTTCACTGTACTTATTTCCAAGATAGCTGTATCTTCCTTAGTTTTTTCTTCTAACAGATTTTCCGTTTTTTCTTCTGATGTCATCATTGTGGATAATTGGAAAATAACAATGTTCGATATTTAAACTAATTTTCTGTCTCACAAAATTTCTTCTCTTACTCTTACTAACTGTATCTTCTTGATGCTTCCCTCACTATCACAAGAATAACGCCATCTGTAAAATTTTCGTTATTGACATTTTATTCTACATTATTGTACATACATACATAGTGCGTCAATATATTTATTATTAGTGCTAAAATTTACAAAGTTTATTTAAATGCATATATACATATATATGTACATATGCATAACGTGTGAGAGCTTATTAAATATTTTTTGATTTTATTGATTTTCCCTAGATTGCAAATTTCTTTGCATACTCGATGCAGCGCCTGAAAGTATGCAACACTGCAAACATTCAAGTATGACGTACACACACACAATACTAGTTATTATTCAAATACTTGGCGGCACCACTAGATAGCGCTCATAGTCTCGATAATGATCGATTACATCGAGTGTAAGAATCGTACGTATATACTACGAAGATCTACAATAAAAATATTTATATTATTTGATATAATTCACTAATATTTATACTATTTTAAATAAAACTACATATAAATTCATTATATTATTATATTGTAATGAAGATTTGAAAAGTTACTATACAACTTTTATTGGAACAACATAATATTTTAAGAAATAAGCTAATATTAAATTCATTGTTAAAAAAAATTCATATTTTTGTAGTTCCTCTACATGAAAAATCAATTATTGTTAAATGTATGTATATATGTATATATGTATGTATGCATATATGTATGTATCTATGTACGTCGAATATAGAAAAATTAGGCCAAGTTTTGCGGAAAGCTAATA